ATATTATAGATCCTGGATTGAAAACAAAAAAAGTATATCATGCGGTGCACTCAGTGTCTGCATCCCACGGGACCTTTCCCCCCCTTTCAAGAGAGCGGACTTCTCACCTGAAGTACGCCAGCTGAAGAGCCATTTGCACAAAGGCATCTGGACTGAGCTTATGCTTCTTTGGCACATTTTTTCCAAAGTGAGAAAACACAAGCACTTTCACATCCAAGTCGTGTACCATTCTGACAAAAATGAGAAAAGAGGGAGTCAAAGAAAATGTCTGACATCAAAGCCCAAATGACAACAGCAACAAGAAAACTACATTCTGACTGCACAGCATGACATACATGTTCATATTTTGTTTGGCCTTCTCAATATCTCTCTTGACCTCAGGTGTAATGTTAAAACGCAGCTTCTGGGGCATGGGCAGGGGAATCATGGGAGCGCGACGGAATTGAGTCCTCTGCCTGTTGAGAAAAACGTGACCCGCCAAGTCAGTGTGAGCTCATCATAAACACGAAGAAACACTAGTCTAAAATCTGAAATAAACTTACATGTATTTAACAACGTAATCGATGAGAAACACAATGGGTGGACCCTCAGCAGGTGCATGTTCATACACCAGTCCACATGCACCGTCTTCACCAACAATGAACTGAGGACGATTTGCAGGTACATTCAAATTCTCAACCATTGCCAGAATCCTGTTTATTACTTTGGATCTGTGAGTCATTGCGCTCTTTTAAACTGACCTGTAGCGTCTTATCAAACCAGCGGTTGCCACTGTTCCAACGAGCACCTCCTCCATGCAGAATCTGGGCAGCTACGCGGCTCAGATACAAGTCATCAGACACCCGCAGCATTGGAGCATCCAAACAAACTGTAAAAATACTTTTCTGGATGGCACGAACTGAGTCTTTATTCGTCCTATCTGAGAAGAAAAAAAAAAAAAGGGGGAAATGGAACTTGTGAATCACAAGATTCTAACAAAAAATGCTTTCTATCTATAGAATACATCTGGCTGATACTGTGGCTTGTCCTCACCCTTAATCAGGTTATTATAGGCTTTTCCCCAAGTGTTGCGGTGCTGTGATGTGAGGATGCCAATCGGTTCTTTGTTAGTCTGCAAAGAGGAGTTCCAGATCTTCTCCAGCTGCATATACAGCTGATCCACTGTTAGTGGAGTGCCATCACTGTTGTACACATCTAGGACAAAAAACTAGAAGAGAAGCCGGGTTGATTCAGTAAGAGATTTAGTTTATTACTCCTTCTCTTCATAATGACTATAAAAAAAAAAATCAGGATCTTTATAAATGAAGAAAGAACAGCAGTGCCATCTAGAGTACCTGAAAGTTGTGGACCACAGTGATGTGAGTCGGAGGTGTTTTTCCACTGGCGTGATTTACAACGGTATCTCTCTTTGGTCCAGGAATACGACAAGAAGACAGGATCTGGTAATACTGGTCCATACAAAGAGGCTTCCCACTCAAATACTCTACAGGCAGAGTCTGACTACAACACAGTAACTAATATTATTCATTTGCAGTTTTGAAAAAAACAAAAAAAACAAAAAACAGCTGCAGGCCATGGTGATAATGAGCTTATTGCTACAGCAGTACAATGTTTGTATTGATTTCAGACAAACTCACGTGTCAATCATTTTTTTAAAGTCCAAAACTCCTGCAATTAATTTGGCAGCAAACCTGCAAAAAATAAAAATAAATAAATAACAAGTCAGATTATAGATTACTATACATAATGAATGGTCAGTGTATGCTTTGTTTTGCATCAATGCTCCAAAAGCTAGCGCTCATATATAGTGTTCACATATGGAACAAAATCAGTCATGAACTATGGAGAGGAATGGAGAGGAACGCAGTTAAATTCTTAGAAGCTAAAAGTAAAAACAAAACAAAAACAAGCACTGGCTTGTTTACCACAGTCTCATATGTTTGGCACATATATTCTTATCATCTTCATTGTTATTTTTGCATTACATCTCCATGGTGCCCCTATGTTCACTGCATATCCCATGGGTCACAGCATTCAAAAACAGCTGAGCAATGGTATGAGAAGCCCTGGGGCTTTAAATAGCCAGCATGTGGAGGGAAGACTGTGCAAAGGTCAGCTAAAAATGAGCTTGTACTGTAACTTCAACACAAAGTAAATCACTTTTTAAAACAGCTTAATGGCTGCACTTATATTCAGACAATTAAACTTTATAACTGGTACTGCTGGAGCCCCGAAAATTTACTGCACGCATTACAAGTGCTGGGGTTTTTTTTAGTGTTTGTGGGCCTGTGATTATTAAGATAAGCAGTTTGGATACTGTAAGGGCATGCTGGTTTCTCACCTCATTTGACCTTGACGATCATGAAAGTGCATCTGGGGCAGGACTACTCCAGGGCTGGTGTAAACTGCCACCGGCATACGGCAATCCAGGTAGGCCGACTGCATCCACCATTCTGTTAACTACACAAACACAGCTGCAGTCAGACCAGGGCGAAAAAAGAATTACTTTAATTTCTTAAACAGCCAAATTAAACATGTATTTAGTGTATGTAATTACAAAAGACAGATTCTTCTGTCAAAAGACTGCTTTTACACTCATCATGTCTACGCTGACACATAAAGTTAAATAAATCCATTTATCTACCCAGTTGTCCGTCTTGCGTGCCCGCCTTTCCAGTCCCTTTTGAAGCCTTTCTCCTACACCACCCTTAAGGAACTCCTGTACCACCTTCCTGGTGTGATCCATCTCTTCATCACTGACGAGGGGTTCCAAAGCTGCGAGGTAGCGCTCACACGTTTGATTCAAGGGTGGCACAGGTAGCTTAGGCAGACCCTCTTGGTGTGTCAGGGGCCTTGCAAGGATCTGCGTTACGGGTCTGACTAGGTGACATGGCTTCACCATACCTGGCCGCATCTATAAGATAATATCTTGTTAAGTTAAAAACTCTTCTGTTTTTTCTGCTATTACACATTAAATTGGAGTATTACAAATGGATTTAGAAAGTCTAGAAAGTTGAAGGTGTCATTGCTATTTGAAGCCCAACAGACAGTTAAATATATAAATAGCCCAGTACATTCATACATGAGTGTGAATACTGAAATGTAATCTTATTGACAATCTCACTGGGGCTCGTTAACCCTGCAGATTAATTGAATCTCTTTAACTTCAAGTGTCAACATGTTTAGTGCATGCAATCTAAGACTGCAGACATTAATGAGTCGCTGCAAACTGGTTTAAGCAAGAACTAGCTTCGGGCGTTGCGAACAACGGTAAACAACTTAGACAGGCTCGTGCTTTACAGTGAGATGATGATTTGGTGCATAAAAACGGACACCAAAACAACCGACAGAAGCAGCTATCCTATTCGGACTAACTGGTGTTAGTCTCTGCCAGCTTATAAATAGGCTGACACAGTTGAACCTTCGGATGGGAGCTACAACAAAAACACATCAATATAAAGTCGTTATACGATTTATTGACAAAAAATAAGAAGATATGATATCCCATTTGATTTAATATTACTCCAAATAAGGTTGAATTAAATACGTAACGGTTAGAAAAAATGTAGGGATATTTATGTCAAGCTGCAACACAACAATTAACTTCCGGTTAGCGATATCAACATAAAGTTATTGCTAAATATTTTGTGTATTTATTGCACGCCACGACAGAAAAGATGCAAGAATGTGGATAATACTGGGGGATGACTCCGAGTCACATTGCTGTTTCCCATGTCACGAACTAAGCTAACGCTAAGTTACTCTATGCTACGCTAAGCTAACGCTATGCAAAATGTTAGCTAACCCCCTCCCCGAAAAAAAAGAAAAATACTCCGTTATATTCCTTAACGCACAATTTAAATGCACACGTTGGGTGAACGTAAGTTACATTTTAACCTACTGTTGCCACATTGTTGCTATTCTGCACAGCGCCCCTCCCTCTTCACTCACTCACTTGACCTGATGTCGCAAAATCAAACGTAACGTTACTGCGCTTTTTTAACACGCACTTAAAACACACGCAAAGGGGGGAAAAGGAGGACTCACCGCGGCTCTGACAAAAACACCCAGCATCTTGTCAGACGGACGCGCTAAAAACTTGGACTGTCCCGGGAATATAGATGGGGAAACCCTCGGGCAGTCATGTCTCAAGGACAAGCACTCTGCGCTCAGCTGTCCGCCCCCCGTCGGATACAGCAAACAAAACAAGCGCTCTCTCTCCTCGAAAAGTCGTGTTTTTCTAGGTGGAGTTTGGCACACGTGAGACTGCTGTTTCAAAACAAATAATTACACTAAACCTCTACCCGCATGAAAGCTTCCTCAGCTCATTGTTTTATTCATTTTAGGGAAAATGGATTCAAATATTCCACAAGAGCTGCTAATAAGCATTTGTCTTTAACTACTTCTGGTTATTGTGTTCAGAAATTGCATATTAAAACCTCCAAGTTCAGTGAAATGATGGCACATTTACTACTAATAATAATAACTGTAATAATAATAATAAGAAGAAGAACAAAAACACAAAATCTGTCTGTATTTCTAAGTTGACCGCTGCGCCCTCTTTCCAAGTAATTTCAAGTCAATGCATTTGTGTTTTTAGACTGTTTGTTTTATTGATTAATCAAAGCAGGCCCTGATATAAATATATATTTACATAATAAGAATAAGAATAAGAATTCTCGTTGAACTGTTGCACGAAGCTGCACAGATCTTCTCTGGCCACATGGTGGTAGTCGTCCAACATCTTTCCAAGGAGAAAACAGCATTCACCAGGAAATACAAACCAGTGACTCCGGTTTTCCCGCAGAAAAAAATAATTAAAAAAAAAATCACCACCACAAAATAATATTTAAATAAAGGTTACAGTTTAGTCATGCTGTGTAGAAATTATTCGCACTAGCACAGGAAATGTCAATGTGCAAAAAGTAATGGAAATGCATATGACCATTCTGTATAATTTCAGCACTGTTTTTGTATAAAAAGTCCAAGAGAGAACTGCAGTCGTGTCATGATTTATTTAAAAGCAGCAAAATAAAACGATACAAAGAAATTAAAAACACACAGTCATACATATCAAAATGCTTCGATTGCTCTGGTCCAGCCGCTGCCTGTTAACAGCGTGTGTTTTAAACAAATTGTTTGAGTGGCGAATATTTGCTCAAGGTCCGTTTGCTGCCAACTCACAAACTCAGATAGCCCACCTGAGCCCAGCACCGAGATCAGGTTGGAGATGTTTGTGCTGTCCAACTGGTCAGAGTCTGAATGTGAATCATCATCACTCCTCATTCTTTTACACGGCACTGGCGCAAAGTCTGGCAAATAAAACTCTGGATCAACGATATGATAACTTATGTCAATCTTTCGCTTTTTTGTGTAGCACTGCGCGCCCTGCGGCTGTTTGGGCTGCGCGCAACAGTCTGTGTGGAAGTATCCGTTCGTGACAGTAGTCACCACATGGGTGTCCAAGTCCAGGACAGTCTTTTGGTTGGCTTGCGTGTTCGGGATAGATAACTCCCAGGAGGATTTGTCCGCACAGCTCCAACAGGCGTCCGAAACCATGAGGTCAGAGTCACTCGGTGAATCCATTGCGCAGGCAGATGCGCCTTGGTGCGCCACCTCTGCAGGCTGACCGTTGGGCTGGTGCGCTCCGCAGTGCCAAGTGTCCGACTCAACCCCAGTAAAGTTGCAGTAGAAGTCATCAGCCAACTCCGTGAAGCTCCCCGTCCATTCGAGGTATTCTTGCCTTTCTCGGACTACGGTTACATCCTCGTACGGATTCGTCCTCTGCATCTGCGACAAGTTTTTGCTCATGTAGAACTGCCTGGCGTTTCTCAGTACGTACGTTACCAGTAAGTTCTTGTGGAGCTTGATGCCTCCTCTCTGCGTCCTGGAGCTTTGGATTTTCCTCAAAGAAATGGAGATCAGATTCTGTGCTTCAAATGCACACTCCATCCTCAGTCGGGCGACCCTTTCTTTGCTCTCGGTCTCTCAAATCGTTTGTTTCCAAACTGGAGAAATAGTGATGCCTTTAGTTGAGATTCCTATCAGATTCGTGTAGACTGTGTCCATAGCGCTCCATGTCTTCCCAGTAAGGGCATGGATTTGCAACTCTCATCTTTCCTTGCCACGCCCTCACGTACACATTGTCCAATGGGAGGGAGGAGGTGCTTCTGTTATACGCAAATATCACTACTAGCCTCATTCAAAATGCACGTAGGAGCAGGCAAGCTGGATTTCACTAAATATGATCTTTTTAAATCTCAGTGCAGACAAATAGGAGACTTTGGAGTCCGCACTAAAACAGAAAGCAATGGAAGGTGGAAGAACAAGCAGAAGCGAATGTAGCGGGGTAGTACAATAGAGTGAAATAGTGTAATGGGATGTAATTTATAAATATAACATGTACTAACATGTAATAACAAATAAGAAAAATATTAGATGATGTGGATGTAGAATATAAGTAGAGAGGATGAACATTAAAACAGGGTTAAGTTGCATTTTATAATATCAACATTATCTACTTTACTCAGTTTCTCGACTGTTCCAATCATGTATCTTATTATTTTCCAAAACAGTTTATTACTTTATCATTTTATATACTGAGGATTCTTTGTCTACTATATTGTTACATTTTATATTACAATGTGCTACCACAGTACAACACTATACTATACTACATTTTATGGCTACTTGATGGCAAAAATCACAATTACACTTAACAGGATCAAAGCCGTGATTATAATGATTGAATCTAAAAGATAAAAAACTGATTCTATTATTTATTTAATTGTCTTTTAAACAGTTGTGAGAACTTAATTTAAAAAAAAAAACTGCCCTAATTCCACAAAATCAACTAAATAAATACATTTTAAACAAATAATAAGATGAACTAAAGAAGTTTGGGAGAGAACAATATCACTATATTATATGGTATATTGCAATATAATATGATATGACACTATAAAACATGCCACGTTATTCTACATTATACTATAGTAATCCAAAGTTAGGTCCAAAGATTGTTGGATAAAGATGCTATTTTTTTTAAAAAATTTTACTTCTGTACACCACCATGATGAATTTTAAATTAAACAATCAAGATGCAGATTTTCAGCTTTGATTCCAGACGTTTAACAAAAGTATTACATTAACTGTTAAGGAATTAAAACCATTTTCATATGTACATATATTTAGTCCCCCATTTTTAGATGTGCAAAAGTAAATCGACAAACCAAGAAGATTTGTTTTAATACTTGGATGAAAATCATTTGCAATCAATGACTGCCCGAATCCTAGAACTCATGGATACACCCAAAATGCTGTGTTTCCTCCTTTGAGATGTTCTGCCAGGTCTTTACTGAAGCTGCCATCAGTTGCTACTTGTTTGTGGTTCTTTTTGACTTCCGTTTTATATTTAACAACTGAAAAGCATGCTCTACTGGGTCCAGATCAAGTGACTGACTTGCTCAGTGAAGTATATCCCATTTCTTTGTCTTGAGAAACTCTTTTGCAGTTTCCTTTGGCTCATTTTGTGTGTGTTGTCTGATCAGTTTTTAAGCATTTAGTTGTACCCAGCAGTAAGTATAGCCCTGTACCCTTCAGAGTACTTCAGTACACTTCATAATACTACTTTTATAAGCAGTCTACTTCAATCAATAAACACTAGTTACTCGGTGCAATTGGCAGCCATGTCCATGGCATAATAATGCTTTTCCTAACCTTTCCACTTCCATATTTTTCTTTCCCCATCATTCTGGTACAAGTTAATCTTGGGTCATTTTTAAAATAACTTATTTTTTCCAGAACTGTGCAAGTTTTTTTTAAATGTCTTCTGGTAAAGTCTGCCCCTCTTGTTCTTGAGTGTAACCAGTGGTTTGCATCTTCTTGTAAATCCTTTGTATTCGTATTCACGAAGGTCTGCCTTGATTGTAGACACTGAGAATGAAACACTTACCTTCTCAAGACTATTCTCGATGAGGTTAGATGGTTGTAATTCTTAAACAGTTAATGTAAAATGTTTGTTAAACCCTTTGAATTAAAGTTGAAAATCGGTGTAGAGTATGGTTTCTCTCTATTTATGCTCTATAAAAATCACCTCTACAGCTTATCTATTTATTTATTTATTTATTTTATTCTGACATTTTCCCCACTAGCATTTCACTCATATTGCCATTTAGCTATGTTACTGTATTGAGTTTACTTGTCTCATTTTTCCTGTGATTGTAACAAATAAAGCCCCTCTGCACATTTAGTTTGGCTGCTTTTTGTGTTGGTATATTAATTACAAATGTGCTCGGTGATTTTTTTTTTTAAAGTACTTTCTTTGTTAGAGACTCACAGTTACAGTTACAGATATCCGATCTCCCAGTTTTCCCTAAAGCCACTTTTACTCTGTCTTTCAATACACTAGAATATGCTGCCCATAAGCTGTAGTTTACCGGATTATTCTTATTTCACATTAATATAATAAACCTATTATCTGTGCTCTGATTAAACCAAGGCACTTGATGATGATGAAAAGGTTGGGTATGGGAACATGACTATATTCTATGTAACAGTATGAAGAACGTAATGTAACCAAATTCAAGAATTATATAAATATGTTGTTACTTGTGTTACAAGTTTCTTCACTTATCTGTGCACATGGCGGAAAGAAAGAAAAGAAAGAAACAAATAATTTTTTTGATTTGGTTTCAGTTTCTGTGCAGGAGGAGGGCCATGGGGGAGTGGTACAGCAATACAGGTTGTGATCAGTGGAGCTATGGACATTAATTTTATGTTTTTTTGCTCAAAAGGATGAAACCATGATGATAAAGTGGAAACTGCATTAAGGACATAAACAATCACATTATATTGCTTACAAAACTTCGGCTCTTTGCATGCATCTGCACAGACAGCATGCAAACACAAAGACAGCCAAGAAGCCAGATTGATATTAATGCTGAGTGCATGCTGACCCCAGCCCAGCAGCCAGAGCCTGATCTTCAACAGGTAACAAAAGCAGTGATGAGCAGTCCAGCTTGAAGTCTCTGTTTTTATCAGTTCATGTTTCTAAAATAGGACCACTCTCTTTGGGCTGTTTTTTACCTTTTCTTTCTGTTGTTACCTTTTTTGATGAAACATAAGCCTAAAAGAAAGATGTTATGTCTGTCCTCGTTAGGGTAGGGGTTTGTGTTGGTGTGTGGGACTGGAGCCTCGGGTTTAAGCTGTAAACTGACTATGTCATTATAAGATGAGACATTTATGTGACCTTTCACGGAGTAATGAGAAAGTCTTGTAACGAGCAGTCTAACTACTTTAATTTAATTTTTTTTTTAAGTAATGTGTAATACGTTACTTTTGCTTCCGCTTCCAAAGGGTCTGCTCCATTTTTTCCTCCTGCCACATCTCTGCCACTTGAGCTTTTTTTTGCCATTCTGTTGTGATACTAGATCCCACCTGCAAGTAATTTCAGTGATATGGATGGGTGGCTCCTTCACTAAGTCTAAGCCCCATCTAACACTACCAGTCTTGCTTTGTTTTAATCAGGTCACTCATTCCCTTCACAGTCTTATAGATATCAGTGCCAAGTAAACTTAATGCACATAGAAGTAGCCAAACAACTAGCTGTCCCATTCATTCCACTGCAACCTCCCATTCATGCCACTGCTCTCAATAAACAAGTTTTTGCTCTGATCATTCATGAGACAGAACCAGTCCACTCAATCTAATCCGGTAATCATTTGAAGACGCTCTCATTCTACATTTTTGATTCCCCAGAGACCCCTCTGATCCTTGGTTATCCATGGCTAAAGAAACACAAGCCCCATATAGACTGGTCTGGTGATAAGATCGCAAGCTTTTCTGTCTTGCCAACTGCCTAAAATCGCTACTACCTTCCGGTTCACACAAACCTCCCTCACCAATCTTCCACCCCCCATATCTGTCCTCCAACCCTAAAGAGTACCACAACCTCCAAGAAGTTTTTAATAAAGACAAAGCCTTGTCGCTTCCCTCTCTCAGGCCCTACGATTGTGCCACTGACCTTCTCCCCAGGGCTCTGTTACCTTCTAGCTGCCTCAACAACCTGTCTCAGCGAGGCAATGGAAAAATATATTTGTGCGTCATTGGCTGCCGGCATCATCCATCCTTCCTCCTCCCCAGTAGGTGCTGACTTCTTCTTCATTGCCAAGAAAAGTAAGATGCCTGCATTTATTATAGGGGATTAAACAACATTACAGTTAAAAACAAGTGTCCATTACCACTCATCAACTCCGCTTTTGAACACATCCACAGGGCCACTATTTTCGCCAAACTAGACCTCTAAAACACTTATCACCTCGTTCATATGAGGGAAGAGGATACATGAAAGACTGCATTTAATATGCCATTGGGACATTTTGAGTACTTGGCGATGCATTTGTAAAAAATGTGTTGAGGTATTTTTTTGAACATTTTTGTCTTTGTATATTTAAATGATGTTTTTTATTTCTTCCATGTCCCTTGAGGAATATCAGATCCATGTTCATAGTGTCCTACAACGTCTCCTGGAGAACTGCCTGTACGTCGTGGCAGAGAAATGTGAGTTTCACTCTTCCTTGATCTCTTTTCTGGGTTATATTTTGGCAGGACAACAGACCCCCTGAAGGTGCGGGCGGGAAAAAAAAGTCCCACTCCCACGTCTCTAAACCATCTTCAGCGTTTTCTTGGATTTGCTGACTTCTACCGCCATTTTATCAGGAACTACTGTCTGGTAGCCACAGCTCTTACTCATCTTGGTCCCCAGAAGCTGAGGCAGCGGACTTCCGGTTTTGGCGCGGTAGCAAATGGCTGCCTGAAAGTTTCGGCTCCCCGCCGGGTGGAAATAATCCCCTTGGAAGAATATTCAGACACAAAGAACAGTACCTAAACTTGACATGGATGGGGATAAACAAAAAAAGCCTAAAGGCAAACCAAGCTCGGGACGGGAAAAGGGAGAGTTAGCCGAGGAAACTCGCAGCGGA